TTCATATGCCAGTTGAAAATAGTGGATACCAGATAATCCATACTTCTGTTCGATCTGGCTACAAATCGGGGGTTCTCGCCCGGTGCGGTGGCTCACGCCTGTAATCCTTGCACTCTGGGAGGCCAAGGCAGGAGGATCACTCAAGGTCAGGAGTTTGAGACCAGCCTGAGCAAGAGTGAGACCCCATCTCTACTAAAAATAGAAAGAAATTAGCTGAACAACGAAAAATAGAAAAAATTAGCCGGGCATGGTGGCGCATGCTTGTAGTCCCAGCTACTCGGGAGGCTGAGGCAGAAGCATAGCTTGAGCCCAGGAGTTTGAGGTTGCTGTGAGCTAGGCTGACACCACAGCACTCCAGACCAGGGAACAGAGCGAGACTCTGTCTCAAAAAAAAAAAAGAGAGAGAGAAAAGAGAAAAAAAAACAAATTGGGGGTTCCCAAAACCCCCTCCTCAGATTGGATAATTTGCTATAACAGCTCACAGAACTCAGGAAAACACTTTATTAATGTTTACCAGTTTATTACAAAAGATATTACAAAGGATACAAATGAACAGCCACAGGAAGAGGTGCGCAGTGCAAGGTATGGAGGAATGGGCACAGAGCTTCCATGCCCTCTCCGGGCACACCAGCCTTCCAGCACCTCTGTGTATTCCCTAACTGAGAAGCTTTCTGAACCCCATAATTTAGAGTTTTTATGAAGGCTCCATTAGGTAGGCATGATTGATTAAATCATTGGCCGCTGGTGATTGACTCAATTTCCAGTCCCTCCTCTCTCCCCAGAGGTCTAGGATGAGGCTGAAACTTCCAGCCCTCTAATCACACAGACAGCTGGCTCCTAAGGCACCAGCCCCCATTCCCATCCTGAAGCTAACTAGGGGCCCACCAAGAGTCACCTGTTATCTCATTAGTATAGAAAAAGACACTCATCACTCTAAAGACTCCAAGGGTCTTAGAAGTTCTTGACTCAGGAATTGGAGAATAATATATTTCATATTATTATATATCACAATATGTCACAATAAATTTTTAGTTGAGAGCGAGACACCTATTAATTAATTTTTTCCCATTAATTCTGTAAACTAATAGAACCAAAGCTTGACCTAAAAAATCAGAAACCATATTTTTGCTACATAAATCAGAAATCTGATTTTAAAAGAACATAAAATTCTAAACTGAAAAATGGGAAACAAAAGCACGAGTATGATGTAGGAAGAAATACACAGCCCAGATGAACCAGTAAGAACCTCCAACAAAAGATGAAATCCTGAAACAAGCAAAAAAAAAAAAACTTTAAAAGAACACATTCACATTCATGTCAGGAAATAAATTAAAATTCTGGACAAACTCTGACCCACAATCATTATCTAAACATCCTCAGGTATTCAAACCATCAACATCTCTTGCTTCCTTTTTCTTAAATGTTCCGGAGATCAATCCCTGGTCATGTATCACAGGAAGAGGTCTAGTTGTTAGGGATTTCCTGGCTTGTAGCCACATTGGCCCTTGTCTTTCTCAGTTGGCGTTGAATTTGAACATCTCTCTCTCTCTTACATTTCTTTCACCCATCAGATCAACAATTCTAAAACAAGGTAATGTAAAACATACCTTTTGTTAGTTTCTTCTTCCCGTAACACACCACTTCCAAGTTTTCTTCTTATCTCAAAGGTGGTAAGACATGGTGGAATTATCTAAGTATTTTGATGAGCAATTAAAACCTACTTTATCTTCTTCTTCTTTTAGCTCTATTCAGTCCTTCCCTATCTCCCATAACCATAATCCTGAATGTAGCTAATTGTGGGGAGTCAGAGCCCTGATGACTAATAATTTTCCCCTGACAACTCAGATAAAAAATATATTCCATTGTCACAACTGGATAGACGAACAGGCAGGCCATCCGACACATTTTTAAGCAAGTGTGTTAAAAGTGACAAGAATAAAGAGTTATAATTTCTAACACCAATTCTGGGCTTTAAACTTTAGAGACAGAGTGAAAAGTATTATTTCGTGCACATATATAATTTTATTGAAGATTTCTCATAATTTTCCACAGAAAGATCATTTTTGAGAGTACATGATTGTGTTGGCTTTTTCACACAATGAAGTACAAAATAGCAAACACTTGAAACACAGATGATCTTCTGCTGTAATCTCCAGGAAACTTCAAGTCTCTCTAAAGACTTTAAGTTTTACTAAAGTGACATTCCCTTCACCAGGAAGCTGTCTCCAATTATTAATTAGTTGAGCCTGTATTAACCTCTTCCTTCCGTTACCACATCAGTTATAACCAACATCCTACCACTAGGTAAATGATTATGCAAGATTTTATATTGGTCTCCAATCATTTTACATCTATATATTTTACCTTGTTAAACAAACTCTAAGTTTCTCAAAAGAGGATAACCATACTTTTTCTTTATCTAGCACTTATTACTATATAATGCTGCACAAGACTTCATTTAAAAACTTCATTTAAGAACCCAAGTGCTATGCATAATTTGATTTATCGTGCTCTTTTTCAAGTGTTGTCTCTGCACTTAGGACAGCCCTGTGAGTCGGGTGTTGACAAGTAGAAAGAATCAAGTTTTGGAAAACCTAATCAGAAGCATTGTTGCATTCAAAAATTATAAAGGAGAAATTGGATAATGACCTGGAGATTGCTTCCTGTCTCTAATGACCACAGCCACCACTAATTCACCTCTCTCCACCCACCTAATCCCTCCACCCCAACACACACACACACACCCCAAATTAAAGGCAAGAAGGACTGGATAATTCATGTACAACACACAAGAGCTGAATTATCAAGCTAACTCTATTCTTTGCCCAAATTTTTCTATTTGAATTTAAGAAGAAAACATATAAGAAAGAAGGAAGCTAATATTTTGAAGTCTACTATCTGGCGGGTCCATCATTCGCAACTGTACACATGACATATGTCATTATCCACATTTTACCAATGAGACAATTGAGGTTTCATGAGTTTAAATAGATTAACTAAAGCCACAGTCTTTGTTTTTCTCTCCCAGTACACTCAGCTAGAGTTTGTTCTACAGTTCAGTCACTTATGGAGAAACATTTATTGAGCACTTGTTACAAGCTAGTCACCACCCTAGGTATTAGAGATTTGAAAGTGTGTGAGACAAGCCAGGCATCGGGGCTGATGCCTATAATACCAGTACTTCGGGAGGATGAGGCAGGAGGACCACTTGAGGTCAGAGAAGAGCCTGGGCAATAGAGTGAGATCGTCTCTACAAAAATTAAAAAATAGCCAGGCATGGTGGTGCATGCCTGTAGTCCTAGCTACGTTGGAAGCTGAGGCAGGAAGATCTCTTTGAGCCTAGGAGTTCAAGTCTGCAGTTGAGTTATGACCACACCACTATACATCATCCTGGGTGACAGACCAAAACACTATCTCTTTAAAAAAAAGACGAAGAAGAAGAAAGAAAACAAAGTGTGAGAGACAGACCAAGCCCTACTCTCCTAGAACTTATAGTCTAATGGTGAAAGGCAAAAAACAAATAAATAACCAAACAGGACAGTTGTTAAAGTTAAAATAGATTGCCAAGATGAGTGATGCACAATGATAATGGCATCTTTTCAATATAATTAGATTAAATAGTAACAAAAATCAAAAGGGGGGAGTAAGACCCACTGACAATTGGCAACACTGTGGCCCCCTTGTCAATAACTGAACCAAGTCATTGCATCTTTTAATAAATCAGAGGGAGGGAAAAGAAGGACAACTCTAAGACTGCTTAGAATTTCCTCATAAAGTGACTCTGAGCTATCAGAATGGACTGTTACAATAATGTTGATTCTCAAGCCCAGAAATCCCATCTTTTAATCCACTATTCACTATACTATTGCTGCATTACTTGAAGAGCTGATTTGTAAAAATCAAGGGAGTGCTGTAACTTGATATAAAGCCCCTGTGAGAAATGAGAAACACAGAGGGATTTCAACATCCACATCACAAGGTTCCCCAGGCTGCGCATGGTCCCCCTTGGGCAATGGCATCCAGCTGTCATGGATGGCCAGCAAGAACTGTAGGACTCAGAGACTAGAGTGGTCAGTAGCTACCAAGAAGTGCCTGGCCCCAGCGTGACAGCTACCAGTATCCTCCACACTCCAAAAAGAAACTTCACATCTCTTAAACTTGGAACATATGCAAAACACTAAGTTTTGTTTTAAGCAATAAAGACTCAGTGTGACTTACCAACTTCCTTCCCTCAGCTATTTTATACAACTGTAAGTTGACTAAATTTGCTGCTAGCTATTTCTATAGCGGACTCCTATGATATTTATAATGTTTGCTATGATTTGGACTGCCCATGTCATTAACACTTCGTGAGAATTTGTGTTTGTAAATCACTTTAGAACTCAAGGATGGCTGTTCTGGGAGTTAATATTCCTCTACCCAGGGTGGAAGCCAGACTAAAGATCATCTGCTAAGAGCTACACTTTCATTTACCCAGCTACCTTCCTGCCAAAGCACTCTTTGCATATTTTTGCTCGTAAAAGTTACTACGTGGGGCGTAGAGGCTGTTTTCAGTTCATCAGCGTACGCCTTCCATTTCCTCCTAGGACGGCCACACTCCAGCAGCTGAGTTTCTCAAAGACGCCTCAGCCCTCTTCCAGAATCGTTCCCACCCTCGTTTCGGAAGGGAGCAACAGTCCTTCCTATCAGGCTACACAGTTCCCCACGCTAAAAGTTTGCATAAACTTTCAATGAGATACCAACCTTCGCCCAAAAGTCCTACCACTTTACTAAGTGGATTACAAATGTATTACACCCTAACCCCCTCAAAAATGTGAACAACTAAACCCTAGATAAGAACGAGTCCATCTGTCGGTGGAGAGAAATTCTAAATCTGTCCCCAGTTTCCCGCCACCACCTACAGCAACACTGGAGTCCCAGAAGACTCTTCCCGGTCAGAAAGGGACCGCTCCCTCCAGAAGCCTGGGGACTGAGGAAGGGGTCTCCCAGGAAGTACACACCTGAGATTTATCCTCAAGCGCGAGGGGACAGCAAGCAAGAGCACCCAGTTCCTCCAGCCAGGGCGGAGTCTGCCTCCCCCCAGAATCAGACACTCGGCCCTGGTGCTCGCAGCGAGGCGCGTGGGTGTCACCCGGGCGGGCTGGGCCGGAGTCACCCGACGCGCCCGGCGACGCCGCGCCCCCGCCTCCTCCGCGACTTCCTCCTCCCGCTCCTGCGCCTCCTCCCTCCCGAGGGCTGACCCTGGCGGCGCGGCGCCACACCCAGCCGGGATCCCTCGGCCCGGGCTCCCCCGGCCCAGCCGGGAAACACGGAAGCGGAGGCGGGAACCCGGGCCGGGCTTGGGGGGAAGCGTTGCAAACCAGCGGGCGACTAGCAAGCGAAATCTCCGCCGCCCAATGAACGTGACTACGTGGGGACACGGGGACACAGGTCCTGCCTGGTGGGGCCGCGCCGCGGCGGACGCGATGACCTCGCCCCGGGCTGCAGTTTCTGCTTTGCGCCTTGGCCGTGCCTGACTCCAGCCCCGAAAGCCTCAGTTGGGCTAGGCCGGGAGAAGACGGTGGCGGTGTCCGGTTTCCTGTGCCCTCCCCCCTGCGGGCCGCCCTGGCCATCTGCCTGGGAGACGGGAGACACTCGGCCGCCTGCACGCTGGCGGGACTGGCTTACCTGAGGACTTCTCGTCGCCCGCCCCGGATCTGGCTTCCCCTACTCCGCACCTCCCGGCAGGCAGGCTTCCCTGGGCCTAAAAACGCGTCTGGGAGGCGGGCGGACCCCTGGGACCCCGCGATCGGAGCCAAAGCCCTCGCCCCGGCTCCCCCCGCGCGCTCAGGAGGCACGCTAGGCCTCCTGGCCACTCGCCTGAGTGACAGCGCGGGGACCCGCAGGGAAGACCAAGCCCAAGCACCGGGGTGCGGGGAGCTGAGCACAGTCTCCTCCAGCCCAGCCTCGTACAGGTGGGGGGAGACGGTGAGCCCCGGCAGCGGAGCAGCAGGCTTCCTTCCCACTTGCACCCCCCAAAACCGACCCTGTCCACTGAGCATGCCCAGCTCACTTGTTGGAACTACAAGGGCTAGGGGAGCCCGAGGGGACCCAGGGACTGCGCGGACGGGGTTGAAATGGACCCCTCTCATTGAAGAGACTTCCTCTGAAGAACTCTGGGTGCTGTACTAAGAACGTGTCTACCGTGGCATTGGAAAATATCCAGGGGATGGTCGGAAAGGCCTTCCAAAGGAAGGCGGCCAAATTAGTTTGCATAAAAATCGCAGTGGTGTTTTTTAAAAGCAGTTGTCATTTATTTAATGTCCTTAAATACCGCCGAATCCCGATAATTGACCCAGAATTATAAGTATACTCATTAGTTCCCAAATTCATAGTAACTTCGGGAAACCAACCACAGTCCATCCAGTGGAACAGTGCCTCTCACCCTTGTATACACATTTTAATTGGAGGACGAAGGTAATAATGCCAGATTCCCATCCCCACACCCAGGCAATCAGTCTGAAGGTGGAGCCTGGAAATTCTCATGTTTTAAAACTGTGGCTCTCAAAGTGCAGCTTCAGCATCACCTGAAAACTTGATAGAAATGCAAATTCTCTACTTGACTCCAGACTACCTGATTCATAAACTCTGGGGCTAGGGCTGAGCTACCAGATTTAACCCTTCAGGCGGTTCTGATGCACACTAAAGTTTGAGCGCCACTGTTTAAAGGCTCCCCCGAGGGATCCTAATATGTAGCCAGAGCTTCCAGGCCTAGTAATTGAGGAAAGAAAGTTGCCCAGAGCAGTCGGAACTATGTGAAGTATGCAAAATTTATCATGCCTTGAGAGACCAGTATGGCACTTTAGTCACACCCCACACCCATGCCTGGGGCAATTGTTTAAAGGCATTTTGTTCTCGATTAGCAACCTTACCCTTGATCTTCCTGTTCCTATAATTTGTGATACAAAAAAACAATGTATAGCCAATCAAAAGCTTATGTTTATTTTATGTAACTTATTCGTGAACAGCTTTGAACTGCCTGTACTTTTCCTTTAAAAACCCACTTGTAACTGCTGCCAATTGGATCATATATTCAGGGCAATTTGAGGAATTGCAGTCCTCAAACTTGGCTCAAATAAATTCTCTACTTATATTAAATTCGCCTCAGGTTCTTTTTCCCCCCTTTAGGTCATCCACATATCAAGCAATGCTTTCCACATTTTTTTTTTTCAAATCCCAAATATTTATTATCTGAAAGTGCAACATGTTACCTAGAAAAGGAATAATCTGGTTGAATGGGGTTCCAGGCCTGGATTTCCTTCCCACTAATTCTCCCAGAACAGTTCAGTGCTTGGAAAATGGAAACCATCTGTTACACTCTGGTGCCTAGCACAGTGCCAGTAACATAACAGATGGTTAAGTGTTTATTGGTTTGAAACGAATGCTTAGGTGAAGGATTTGTCTCAGGACCTGCTATGGCTGCTGTTTAATTTCCCCACAGGTCCGAGTCACCTTGCTAGCTAACAGGCCAGCAGGGATCCAGTTCTCATCAATGACCCAAGACCATCCATCAGACCCTGGGTCTGATTAGGATATGGGAGGAGGTAGAGGGTAGGAGGTAGGATGTGGGAGGAGAGAGAGAAAAGTCAAGAGCATTGGATATGATTTCTCTTGCCAAAGTTGGAGTCCAAAGCAACCAAAGGAAAGCAGAAGGTCGTAGGCACCTGGTGGGATGCAGGAAGGGCACGGAAGGAACAAGTTGTTGTATGGGAGGAGGGTAAAGGAGGACAGACCCGGAAGCTAAACTGAGCAGCCTGCAATTCACTCTGAATCTTTTTCAAAACCACCCACCTCTGCTCTACATTTCCCACTTCCCCACTTTCCATATACAAGTCTAATCTCAACTATTGCCTTGAATAAAATAAAATAAATAGGAAACTAGACCAGACACAGTGGCTCACACCAGTAATCCCAGCACTTTGGGAGGCTGAGGCCAAAGCAGGAGGATCACTTGAGGTCAGGAATTTGAGACCCTGTCTGAACAAAAAAAATTTTTAATTAGCTGAGTGTGGTGCCACCTGCCTTAAGTCCCAGCTACTTGGGAGGCTGAGGTGGGAGGATCGCTCGAGGCTAGGAATTGGAGGCTGCAGTGAGCTATGACTGCACCATACACTCCAGCCTGTCTCTAAAATAAATAATAAAATAAATAGGAAACTGTTGTATAGTAGGTATTTTCATTTACTGGATAAAAACATTGCTGGCTTGTAATCAGAGTGTAAGTTATTTAGAACATATTTTAAAAGTTGTTAACTTTTAAAAATGAAGACTAGATAATTTCAAAATGCAGAGATTTATGATATTTTTGCTTTAAGATTTCACAGAAACTTATAAAATCGAAAATTATTCCCTATTTACTCCATCAACATTTTCTAAAGGGAATCAAATATAAAAACCAAATATAAAATATTTTTCTTTTTAGCCTGACACATAACATTTTAAAACATTTTTTAAGGATACTATTTATGAGTACCTAAAGTAGCTTTCAGCCTCCCTATCTCTGCCCCTGTGACTTGCTCTTAGTATAGCAAGAATTGCACTGAAAGAGTCTGGTTGCTGATTGAGTTATCTAACAGGAGCACAATTTCCCATATGCCTAAGCCTTTTATTTTTATTATTAAGATAATTTTATGGGGGGATGGGCATAATCACTAATTTAGGAATTGCTCTTCAAAATTAAGTATTATGCTATCATAAGTCTACAAACAATTTATTTTTAAAAATCTTCCCTTCTCAACAAACACCTGCTATTGCTTCTTTTAGCTCATGAAGCTAAAAGGGGGAAAATCTAAGTAGGGGTATGGGAAGGGAAGCACTGACCATAACCGAGTTTAAAAACATGAAGTAATTATTTCAGCAGAAGGCAAGCTACTGAAGACCAAGATCTCAGGGAAGTTAGAGTCTTGAGTGTTTCTCCTAGTCACCATAAGTATGACTCAGCATTTGGAATAAAACTATGTTTACTGTCTTCCAGATTGCTGGTGTCAAATAACTTTGGTGCCACCTAATTTTTTTCTCCAGTGCCTAAGAAAACTTCACGGCAGTCATGGGTTTTCTCCCTCGTGTGGCTTCAAAAATCTCAAAAGCTTTCCCCTTTTCATTCATCCCTGTCTTAACCAAAGCCTAAGTTTGTCCAACATTCATTTATTTTGTTTTTGTACTATTGTCAGGTGAATTTAGGTTATCCCCTATATTCTAGTTTAACAAAATGAGTGAAAAGTTCTTCCCTTCCCAAGCCTGGGGCGTAGGCTACCTGATACTGAAACACCTTAAACCCAACTGCGCGGGGGTGAACTGTTCTCACCATGGGGGAACCTTCCACGTATAATTCTACTATGCACTTTGAATGACTATCCACCACATGCCTAGGGCTACCTATTTCAGTCTCTACCTGTTTCTAGAGAAAAACAAATTTTCCCAGCGGCCAAGTAAGTGTTCATTGGTTACCTAAGCTCATAATACAATCTATGGAATATTAGAATTGAATGGGACCATAAATGTTAACCCCCACACATTTGTTTTATAAATGATGAACCAAGCCCAGAGGTATTAAGTGACTTACCTAAGATTACAATGTTAGCTAAACATAGAGCCAAGACTAAAATGAGAAACTGCTTGGAATAGAGAACATTGTGTGGACTTCAAATCCATCCTCTTATAAGTTCATCTACCATGGCCTGGTTCTCTAGCTTTTCAGAACCTTGGTATCCTCTTCAGTGAGAGATGTTAATAGCAAACATTCACATAGTGTTTACTTTGTGCCAGGCACTAGTCTTAACAAGGTACATGTAATTTTTTTTTTTTTTTTGAGACAGAGTCTTGCTCTGTCACCCTGGATAGAGTGCCATGGCGTCATAGTAGCTCACTGCAACCTCAAACTCCTGGGCTTGCCAGATCTTCCTGCCTCAGCCTCCTGAGTAGCTGGGACCACAGGCACACACCACGATGCCTGGCTAATTTTTCTGTTTTTAGTAGAGATGGGGTCTTGCTCTTGCTCAGGCTGGTCTCAAACTCCTGAGCT